ATAATGTTATAATTAATTAAGTGATCATTTAATTATAATGTAATGTTACAATTAATTATGTAATCGTACTATAAATTTATAATGTAATGTTGTAATCACTGTTTTAAAAGCCAGACCAAATCGGTCGATCCAACCAGTTGGACCGAGAACCGGTCACGTATCTAGTTCGAGTCAACATTAAACCCGCCATTATCCATTAAACCGCTTTAACCTATTTAAAAACAGGATAAAATCAATGAACCGTCATATAAACCAGTCTGATTTCAAAAAACCCTAACCCTACGCAATCACACTATCGTAGCACATTCCATCTGATTTCCATCTTTGTTTCTCAGCTTCTTCTCTTTCTCAGTTTCTCTATGAAAATTTCTCAGATTTCTCAGCTTTTCTATGAAAATTTCTCTCTGAAATCCCACTCAAATCGCAATCAACTCCACTCCCTAAAGTCTGAAATCGCAACCATTCACCAAATCGCAACTAAACTCTCTGAATTCGACGATGTCTTCCTCCCTCGCCGGAAATCGACGACAGCTTCGTTCCTCACTGGAAATCGACGGCAACAGCTCCATTCGTTGATGACAGCTCCATTCCTCGATCCAGGTAATAAACACGCCATTCCTCGACAGCTGAGGTTCCTCTGTCTATTCGATGAAGTGAGTACTGGTAGTTATGGTAGTTATAGGTCATTGAATCGTCCCGAGATTCTCGCTCATCCAGTCGAATTGCTGATCTGCTTCGCAAAATCGATGTTTCTTACTTGTAAGTGTTGCATTTTTTCTTTTTAATTTAGTGCAAATAATAAGCAAGCTAAACTTAGACTTTTTTATTTTTTTATTTTTGAAGAAGAAGTTTAGGCGATGTGTTTGATTCTGAAACTGTAATTTATTTTTGTTTGCTTATTTGTCTCTGTAGTGTAAATTATGACCAGTTTAAGTGTTGATTGGTATATAGTTTTGATCCTCGAAATTAGGTACCCTTTTTTTGTTTTTTTGTTTTTGTTTTCTTGTTTTTTACTTGATGGGTTCTCACTCTTTTACCTTGTGATCTTGCTTTATGTATCTGGGCTTACGTTGTTGCTTTGGATCAATGCTTGGTCTGGTCAGAAAGCTATGATTTTTGTGATCAAGATCTGGTTTTTGTGTTCATTCGAGCCTTGGTCATGTTCATATCGTTTGTTCTGATGATTTATGTTTCCAGATTAAGTAGCTGAGGTTTGTGTATTCTAGTTCTTGGCTGCAGTGTGCGATGATGGTGATGGTTATTATGATGAAGATGGTGAAGAATTTTGATGCTAGTGTGTGAAGCTCAATCAACATAGAGACGGATGAAAGAAAAAACACTTGCACCAAATGTTTTGTTATTAATTATTATGTATTTTGTCATTTAATATGTAATGGATGAACACAATATCATGTTTTGGATTTGGATTTGGATATTAGATTGTTTTGGACTTGGATTTTAGATTGTTGTTAAATACTTAAATTATGCTAGAATTGTTATTGAATTTGAAGTTTGAATCATGATGTGTAGTAATATTACTATATTATAATATGAGTAATACTAGCCTTACAAAGAGGCATACAAAGAGTCATACAAAGAGTCAAATCCAGCCCTTGAAAGAAGGGAAAAAGAGAGAGAGAAAGAGGCAATCATAAATTTCAAGGGTTAGATTTGACTCTTTGTATGACTCTTTGTATGCCTCTTTGTAAGGCTAGTATTACTCTTATAATATATTAAAGTTTTTAATATGGTGTAATTTATATGTAATAAGTATAACTGTATATTTATTTAATTAGGTTATTCTAAAAATTTAACTTTTTCTATTTTAAATTTTTTTTATATGTAAAATAATAGAAACCTCCCATTATTCACATTTCACAAATATTTTCAGGTTCCAAAACAGGTTTCAAACAGGTTCTAAAACATGTTCCAAACAGGTTCTAAACCGGGTACCCGCTATAGGTTCCAAATAGGTTCCAAACCGGGTACTCATTTTCGGTTCTTTTTCCAGATTCCGGTTTCGTTTCCTCCACACATAAGAATCGGAACCGCACAATGTCGGTTCCAATAAAATGGAACCAGAACCTACCCTCAGAATGCCGGTTCCTGGTAGGTTCCGGTTCCGATTCCGTTCTATCCACAGGTTTCGGTTTTACCCAGTACCCGTGCTCACCCCTATATTAACTTATGCAATTGCCACACTCTCCCCTTACCACACTGGAGAAGACTTGCAGCTAGTCTTTTCCGAAGCTTTAAACACACTATTTTTAATTTTAATATATCTTTAACAATAGGGAATTATTTCAATTAGAAACGCAAATATTCTACATTTATACCTCAATTTACTTGTTGCAAAAGCAAACTTTGCACCTTATTCTATAATTTAAATTGCATTATGTTCTATTGAGAGCCTTTAATTGACTAAGATTAAATATATACTATAGCATTAGGGTGTATTTGGTTGGGGGGTCAATGAGATTACTGAGGTAATGTCACCGTACATTGCTTGATTACCATGTTTGGTTGTCATGTAATATAAGATTCCAGTAATCTTCCAATACCAATAGTAGTTACTATTAGTAATATAGAAGGTAATCTGATTGCCTCTATTTCCTCTGCTTGAAGCCTTGCTTCTTTTGTCCCCTTCCTCTTCCCATTTCCTGAATGCATCCCTTTTCTCTTTGCTTGATGGGCTTGCTTTGTTCTCGATCTTCAGTGGATTGTGCTGGGCTTCTTCACTATCAATCCATCCTTTACTGGCTTTCTTATGTCCATTCTTGCAATTGCAAGTTTTCATTTATCATTAAACATAATTTTAGTTTGAGAACACTTGCAGCCAACCTTTTCTAAAGCTTTAAACACACCGTTTTTAGTTTGTTTTGCAATAGAAAATATTACAATTTGAAATGCAAATCTTCTAGATATATAGCTAAATTTATTTGATGCAAAAGCAAACTTTGCACCTTATTCTATGATTTGAATTTTATTAGACTGAATGAACTTAGTAATTTTATATGATTGTATTACGTTCTATTGAGAGCCTTTAGTTGACTAAGATTAAATATAGTACTATAGTATTAATGTTATCTAGTATGGAATACTTAAAATATTGGATATCTATGCTTGGGATGCAAGTGACACCATACTTAAAATATGATATCACAATGATGCTAGAATCGGCCGATGGTCAGCCCAAATTGTCATGTCCACAACCCAAATTGTCATCCCTATTTTCGGCCCGTTATGGCCCAAATAAGATGTATGAAAATGCTCAGTAGATAGATTAGACAACAAACAGATAATTTTAGATGAGTAATACTACGTTTACATCATCCCCATCCCCATCCACCATTCTCTTACATCATGACGTGGCAGCTTACGTGGCAGTACTACCTCATCTACCACATCATTTACCCCCAAATTTAAAAAAGAAAAATTGCTAACCCTAAATCAACTTTCACTTTATTATTTCAAATTCCAATTTTTGTATTTCTTCTTCACCATTGCTCTTCTCTCCACTGAAACCCTAACCCTAACCACCAAAACCATAGAGAGTTTGACCCATTCGTTTCAAAGCTTCTAAAGTTTGACAGAGGAACCAAAAGAGACAAGTGAACACATTGAGCGTCGTGGATTCCTCGAAATTCCATCATTCCTCTGATCCCTATATATGTTTGATGCAGGATGCCAATGATGTCGAAGTTGCTAGTGGATCCATTTGCCAAGTGTGAAGGTGATTTTTCTTACCACCGTGAAGTGTTGTGCATTAGAACACAAATATTATCTTTGTGTCTTCTTATTTCACCTCTCTTCATTTATTTCCTGAACAGCCACAACAACTAAATGAAACAATGAGGATTCCCAAGGAAAAAATAGACATTCTTAAGGATCAAGTATTTGGTTTTGATACATTTTTCGCGACAAGCCAAGAGCCATACAAGGTGGATGGATTACTTCGATGGCTTTCAATGTCTTGTTTGCAAATTTCCTGTGTAAAAAAAAAAAAAAAAAAAAAAAAAAAAAAAAAAAAAAAAAAATTATTTCAATTTGAAATGCAAATATTCTACATTTATACCTCAATTTACTTGTTGCAATTTTGCACCTTATTTTATAATTTAAATTGTATTATGTTCTATTGAGAGCCTTTAATTGACTACGATTATATGTATACTAATATGGAGTACTTAAAATATTGGATATCTATGCTTGGGATGCAAGTGAAACTTGTTTTCTTTTCTTGGAGACGAAGTAGGGTGATTATTTGATATTTAAAAAATAAATATATAACCACAAGCTCACACTGTATTACCAAATCTATAGCTCGAATTTGTTGGTAAAATTACAAAAGAATATGAATCCTGTACTATTTGAATTTAATTAGTGAAATTCTTTATTTTTATTTTAACGTTTTATTTTGATAATAAGATCTGCAACACAAAGACAAACAAACTTCAGAAGTCTCTAGAATTTGCAGTACAAAGGGTTACATGGCTCTAAAGCAGGCTATGAATCTTTGTATTACTTCCAAGGTTGATGTTATACCTTCGGAGGGTGATTCTCGAAACGGAGAAAGGAATTTGAGTTTCAGACGTGATGGTAAAGGAAGGTGATGGAGGAGCAAGAAGCTGAGTGACAAGAATTGTGCAGATTGTGAAAACGAAATTGCAATGTGGGGAGGAGAATTAGATAGAGGAAATGGTTGATCCAAGATTGAAAAGAAAGTTTAGCAATAATTGGTTGAAATTGGATTTAATAGTCAACAGTAATGCTTAAGGGCCTAGAGGTGTTTGGGTCAGGTTATGCACATCTCAAATACTCCCTTAGAAAAATTTCTTCAGTGAGAGAAATTTTATTTCTTTTAACATGCCCTTGGTGTCTGGATAATAACTGTGAACCCCACAGGTTTCAGACAACTACATTTTATCCCACCTCATTTCGGGTGAGATTGTATTATTTATAGGTAAACCCACAAACGACTCACCCATTTTGAACCCGAGATAATCCGCAAACGGCGCTAATCAAATGGCCTTCAAAAGCTTTCTTCGTCGTTGTTCTTCTTCTACTGAAACGATTACGAAAACCAAACTCTCATCTTTATTCACAAATTCATGTAAAGTAACAGCAACCATACCACAAGATTCAGTAGATAACGCTGAAGAGGTTGCGAGACTTGATAAATTCCTTAAAAAAGATTGTAAAGAAGGTAATATCACTCTTGATGAAGCACGCTTTTTCTTTTGTTTAATGATTGATATGCAACCCAAACCACCGATTTCGTTATTCAACCGGTTGTTTGGAGCTCTTGCTAAGAAAAAATTTTATGAAGACGTTATTTTGCTGTACAAGCAAGCGGATTCGATGGGTTTGTTGCCAGATTTAATTACTTTGAATGTTTTGATTAATTGTTTTTGTAATGTGGGTCGAGTTTGTGATGGTTTTGTTGTTTTCGGGTGGATTTTGAGGTGGGGTTTTAACCCAGATGCTGTGACTTTTAATTCTTTGATTAAAGGTTTGTGTTTGGAGAATAGGGTTACGGAGGCTACTAGGTTGTTCAAGAAAATGGTTGTCTTTGGGGTTAGGCCTAATATTATTTCTTACGCTAGTATTATCCATGGTCTTTGTAGAGATGGGTCGGTAGATAGGGCGAAAGAAATTTTTTTGGAAATGAAGAGTGGAGGAATTAAACCAAATGTGGTTGTTTGTAACTCTCTAATTTACGGTTGGTGTTTTGTGGGAAATTTGGAGGAGGCTAAAGGCTTTTTTATTGAGATGGCGGATCAAGGTTTGCAGCCTGATTTACTGACTTATAATACAATGATAAGTGGGTTTTGCAAGGAGGGGAAGATAGAGGAAGCCAATTGGTTGTTGGAATTGATGATCCAAAGAGGTTTGCAACCAAGCATATATACTTATAGTACTTTGATGGATGGTTATTGCTTGCTGCATAGTTTTGATGATGCAAGGGAGCTGCTAATCTCTATGGAGAGTAAGGGTTGTAAGCCTGATGTTGTAAGTTATACTACTTTGATCAATGCCTATGGCAAGAATAGGAAATTAGAGAATGCTATGAGTCTTTTCAGGGAAATGATTTCAAAGGGAATTAGACCCGACGTTGCTGCATATAACACTTTGCTGACTAGTCTTTTTCTATCAAATAAGGTTGGAACTGCACGGAAACTATTTGATGAGATGAAACTTCATAATGTTTCTCCTAATTTACGTACATATGCAATTTTGATTGATGGGCTATGCAAGAATGGCTGTGTTCTGGAGGCAGCAAAATGGTTTCGTACTTTGGAGTACTATGAGTTTAAACTTAGTATTGAAATCTATAGCAGCCTCATTGATGGGTTGTGTAAAAATGGAATGATCGAAATTGCTTGGGAGATATTTCACAAATTGCCTCAGAAAGGCCTAATGCCAGACGTTATGACATATACCATCTTAATCAATGGGTTTTGTAAAGAGGGGAAACTACAAAAGGCATATGATTTGTTATTTGATATGGAAAAAAAGGGTTGTGCTCCAAATGCTGTTACATTCAATACTCTTATGCGAGGCTTTTTGCAAAATAATGACGCAGCTAAAGTGGTTGAACTTCTTCACAAAATGAATGACAGAAATGTGATACCAGATGAATCAACATTGTCTACAGTCGTAGATCTGCTTGTAAAGCATGAAAATTATCGTGAATGTTTGGAGTTGCTTCCTCAATTTCCTCTGCAAAAGTCAACAAGAAACTGAAATGATAAATATTGCTGCACTTGACTGTAAAAACCATCTTCAATGCTGTGAATGTAAAGGGTAGTATTTTCTCTTTTATTTTCCATGTAGCATCCTTCGATCATAAGTCTTCACGTATTTAATCCTTTATATTATTTTTAAGGTTTTTTTGTTTGCTTATTTCAATTTTTGGTTGCCCACCTGAATTCTAATTCCTCTATTCATCTTAAACTCTATGCAATTTTGTACTAGGAACTTAATAAGAGTATTGTGTAAAAACTAATTAACGTTGAATAAGGTAGATTTGGTCACAAATTGATGATGAAAAAGCTGTTTCTCTCTTACATTTTCACTCTTTCAACTTATGAATATTCTCCAAAAGCACCCTTTTGATCTTAAAAGCACTTCCCTTGACCTTCAAGTAGAGCTTATGGTGCAAGTGCTTATCAATCTTTTGGAGCTCCCTGTACTTGAAAAGCAATTTCCTAAGCACTTGATGGAAGCCTCCCTTCCTCTTCCCATATCCTGAATGCCTCCCTTTTCTCTTTGCTTCATGGGATTGCTTTGTTCTTGATCTTGACTGGATTGTGCTAGGCTTTTTCACTATCAATCCATCCTTTACTAGCTTTCTTATGTTCATTCCTGCAATTGCAAGTTTTCATAATAATTAAGACTTATTTGAAATGGAGAAGGAGATGTGATTGGCCTCATTAGGATCAAGTCACACTCTCCCCACAGTTGAGAACACACCATTTTTTGTTTGTTTTGAAATAGAAAGTATTACAATTTGAAACGCAAAGCTTAATATAAAATATAATTTAATGTTAAATATATACTATAGTATTAATGTTATTTAATATGGAATACTTAAAATATTGGATATCTATGCTTTGGATGCAAGTGAAACTTGTTTTCTTTTCTTAGGAACAAAGTACGGTGATAGTTTGATATTGAACAAATAAATATATAATGATAAACTCAGGTTGTATTATCGAATCGATAATGTTATTAACTCAATATAATCATCGAAATCAAGTTTTTGATAGTGTTTCTCCTGACATTATAAACAATAAAGTAAGGTTATGCACATTATCGACGTGAAGGTGAAGCGGAGTTGGAATAGAACCAAAATATGTTTATTTTTGTACTTAAAAAGATGCCTAAATAATATAGTTTTACCAATGATTTTTAACTAAAAAATAATTATTATCGGGTCAGGTCAATCCTGGGATTGTCCATGGCCCGGCCCAAATTATCATCTCTACTTTCGCCCTATTATGGCCCAAATAAGATGTGTGAAAATGCTGAGTAGACAGATTAGAAACAAACTGATGATTTATACTTAGTGAAAAATCAGACGAGAAAAAGACAGAAATGCCCCCACTAATCTCTACTCTATTCCACTAATCTTAACCATTTTCAAAACTAAAACTCAGACGAAGATGGCTGATCAGAGTGAGAAACCAGAGGTCTTTGAACTTAACAATGGATCCATGCATGTCAAAATCTCCAATTTTGGCGCCACAATCTTGTCGCTCTCTTTACCTGACAAACAGGGTATTTATTTATTTATTTAAATTTACTACTCAGTCACTTTATTTATATATATATTGGGAATTCAAGTTCTTGTTTCTTCTGCATTCTGCCTATGATGAATTATGTTATTATCAGAATGGGGCGGCACCTTTTTTTGGGTGCATTGTTGGTCGGGTTGCAAATTGAATCAAAGAGGGTAAATTTACTCTAGATGGGACCAAGTACACCTTGCCAATCAACAAGCTGCCGAACAGTCTCCATGGTATGAATTTGCTTGAGTCAGAGAGTTAGGTTTTTCATTTTCTTATTTGATTGTGTGAAAATCTTGTGTTGTTTTATGTCAGTCCCTGTTAAAACTGTTGTAGTCCAGCAAAAGCTTGTCTTCTGCTTTCAGGCAGGTGGGAACTTTGCCACTCATCAATAAAAGCACTTTTCCATATTGCTTTGTGGCATTAATATAGTAGCCACAGTTCTTAGAGAAGAAATATAAGCCGCAGCGTATTGCTTTTGTAACGCTACAAACTAGGGTACCTAAAAGTTTGCTTTCCAATGTAGTAAAGAATTGTCCATCTTATCAACTTGAAGGAGTTACCCATTCCTTTATCGACTTTAGCGATGTCAAGTTGTTGTCAAACTAATAAGTATACCCTTCTTGTTTGATCTAAGACACACAGACACTAATCCAACTGAAGAATGCCATTGCAAATCAATCGTTGGGAGTTTATCATAGAAAAACATAATAGTAGTGGCATCTGAGGACTGGGTGGATGTATGATATCTTTATGCACTAGAATGCATTTGAATTTTTGCAAATTTATTTCCTTGATAAACTCTTCTGTCTTTTCTTTTCTTTAGGCGGTTTCAAGGGTTATGATGAAGTGATATGGAAGGTAGCAGAACAAAAGAATAGTGAAAACCCATCTATTACATTTAAGTATCACAGTCGTGATGGGGAAGAAGGTTCGTTCTCTCTCTCTCTCTCTCTCTCTCTCTCTCTTTCTCCCTGTTCCCCTCTTCTCTCATTTTTCCATCTCTAATTCTTCTGTTTGCCTCGTAATAGGTTACCCAAGAGATGTGTCTGTGACTGCAGGTTACAAACTTACTTCAAAAACGACGTTGAGACTTGACATGGAAGCAGTTCCGGAGAATAAGCCAACTTCAATCAGCTAAGCTCAACAAACCTACTGGAACTTAGCAGGCCACAACTGTGGGAACATTCTTGAGCACTCAATTCAGATTGGGGGGCCGCACATTACTCCAGTAGATGAGAACACTGTCCCAACCGGTGAAATTAAGCCAGTCAGAGGAACCCCTTTTGATTTCACCTCTGAGAAGAAGATCAGTGCATCAATCCAGAAGTGGGTTTAGGGTATGACCACAACTACGTGCTTGATTGTGGGGAAGACAAATCGGGGTTGAAGCATGCTGTAAAACTGAAGGACCCGTCATCTTCAAGGGTCCTTAACCTGTGGACCAATGCCCCTGGGATGCAGTTTTACACCGGAAATTATGTCAATGGAGTCGTCGGAATGGGAGGTGCCGTTTATGGAAAGCATGCTGGTGTCTGCTTAGAGACGCAGGGATTTCCGAATGCCATAAACCAATCTAACTTCCCATCTGTTGTGGTTCGACCGGGCGAAACATACAAACATTCAATGTTGTTTGAGTTTTCAGTTGAGTGAAGTAGTATTCTCTTGAAGTGTGGAAATTGAAATAAAGGTTTGTTTTAGGTTTGCCGATGGTGAATAAGAGAGTATTTTCAATGATCAAAAGTTCAAAACTTATAATATTTAGTACACTGGCATTTATATGCATAAATAAACCAGGTTATTCTAGACTTGGTAGAGATTTGTTGCCTATTATCAAAAATAAAAATTCCCAAATAAGGGGTGTTTATTTTGAAAGTGTGGTGTTGAAATTTTTACTGGTGACACGAGCTCTTTTAGTTACGTAACGCCTAATATTATTAAATGGATCTTCGAAGTTTAAAAATTTGATCACAAATATCTTTTTGCGTTAATCCTATAGCGTTGTTGATTTGTAAAACATTTTCTTATAAAACAAGTTAAAAGAAGACCAAAGTTACTGTTTCACCCATCTACCACAAACTGCAATATAATAGAGTAAAGACAAAGGATATCCATGATATAATTTCAAAATTCGAAGATAATTTATGATAAAAAGTATGAAAATTGTCGCTGGAATGATGAATTTGGAAACCTTAAAGATAGTCTATGATAATCTCCCATTTCAAAGATCTTGTTTTAGCAATAGATGATTGTAATTAGCAATGCATAATATAAAAACAAGTTCTTACACACAAATTCTATATTTTATTAAACCAGAAAAGTATCAAAACCTACTACGTTCTTTTCTTGACATTCAGTATTCTAATACATTCAACTTTCATATTGAACTTAAATGAAATTCTCATTTGTAATTTGGGAATTACATGCACAATGAAGTTTTGACATTTTTTCAGCTTACACACAAACTGCAATTCTGGAAACGAATTTCCTTGCACAATAGAAATGGATTTGCTTCGTGCCCTTATGCCTGTTTCTCATGACATTATAAACAAAATAATATGCTTAAAATATATTTATGCTTTACTAAATAATACTTCATTATATATATACAAGTCAATAAATACATAAATGTCTAATCTTCTCTCTTATCTATCTTGATAATTCATGTAATTGAAGGTTTTTAAACTAAAAATAACTTATATAATATGGATACATTAACTTATACAATTGCTACACTCTCCCCTTACCACACTGGAGAAGACTTGTAGCCGGCCTTTTCTGAAGCTTTAAACATACCATTTTTAATTCTAATATCTTTTGTAATAGAAATTATTTCAATTTGAAATGCAAATATTTTACGTTTATACCTCAATTTACTTATTGCAAAAGCAAACATTGCACCTTATTTTATAATTTAAATTGTATTATGTTCTATTGAGAGCCTTTAATTGATTAAGATTATATATATACTATACTATTAATGTTATTTAATATGGAATACCTGAAGTATTGGATATCTATGCTTGGGATGCAAATGTATCTGGTTTTCTTTTCTTGGGGACAAAGTTGGGTGATAATTTGATATTGAAAAAAATAAATATATAACCACAAGCTCACACTGTATTACCAAAACGATAATCGGAATTTGTTGGTAAAATTACAAAAAAATATGAATCCTGATAGGATTTGAATTTAACTAGTGAAACTCTTTATTTTTATTTTAACGTTTTATTTTAATAATAAGATCAGTGGCACAAAGACAAATAAACTTCAGAAGTCTCCAGAATTTGCAGTACAAAGGGTTACATCGCTCCAAAGTACGCTATGAATCTTTGTATTACTTCCAAGGTTGATGTTATACCATCGGAGGGTGATTCTCGAAACGGTGAAAGGAATTTGAGTTTCGGACGTGATGGTAGAGGAAGGTGATGGAGGAGCAAGAAGCTAAGTGACAAGAATTATGCAGATTGTGAAAAGGAAATTGCAGTGTGGGGAGGAGAATTAGATAGAGGAAATGTTGATCCAAGATTAAAAAGAAAGTTTAGCCAAAACCAAGCTACAAATAAT